TCCTAAGCCTTTTAAATCTTATATATATATATATATATATTATATATATATATATATATATATATATATGAATTTTGGGGAAAAATATAAGATTATAAAAGAGTTTGATGTTTTGAGTATTTTTGGATAATTTAATGTTGTTTTATCATGATTTGAATCATGATTTTATAACACAAAGTTCTTGTGTTATGCTTGTATTCCCCCCCCCCCCCTTAAAACAGTAGAAATTATGAAAATACGGGGGTATGAACTCACTTGATAGGTGGTGAATCGGACGGAGTTTCGTTTCACGAAAAGGAGTTTGTTTGACAAGAAATCGGCTCAAATTGGGCAGAGTTTTGACAGGAGAGAGGTTACTTCTCGGGAATTTTGGGGCTTCGAGGCTTGCTTAGCGTTCGATACTTGATATCGGGGCTTTAGGGGTTGTATGAGAGCTTATGGAAGTGAAAGGGGTGAATGTGTGTAAAATTTGGTGTGAAAAAGGTGAATTCCTCGGAAGCCCTCGCATGGCTTTATAGGCCGAGGCCGAGGTCCGAAGGTGAGTCAGCTTAGGCGCGTGTCATCAGCAGTGAGTTCCACGGGGCGAAGCTTCGGACAGCAGGCTCGCAGTGGCAGGCTCGGATTGGACCAAACTTCGGTCCAGTAAGAGAAGGGCACGTGCGAAGGGGTGCATCCGAGGGGCGTGCGAGGTGATGTCCGGTGTGTCTCATGCGAGGTTGTTCGAGTGGGATTGGACCGTGGAGTTGGTCGAATCAGGAGGTGCCACGCAAGGCTTCGGTCCAATCAGCAGCCGCCATTTGCGAGGGTGACGTGTCATGCGAAATTGCCCGGTTTTTCCTATTTTTCTTTATTTTTGTGCCAAAACTTGCGAAAATCATAACTTTCGCATACGAGCTCCGTTTTTGGCGTTCTTTATATGCACGCGTAGGTAAAATCATACTCTACGACTTTGGTTTAGACTTCGTCGGTTAATTTTGAATTTATTTTTAATATTATTATTTTAAACAGACCGGGACGGGAATCCGTTAAAAATTCATAACTTCTTCATCCGACGTCCGTTTTTGTCTGTCTTTTTACCGTTGTACTACTACCGACGAGACCTTCAATTCTCGTTTAGGTTGTGTCGGCTAAAAATCGCTCGATCTTTATTTCGAGTTTTTAGCTGTACATTGTTATACTGAAACTTAGAAAAATCATAACTTCCTCATACGAAGTCAGATTTTTCCGTTCTTTTTATGAAAGTTCTCGGTTTAACATAAACTACAACTTTCATTTAGATTGTTAAGGCTAAAAATCCTTTTATTGAAAATTCAGTTTTTACGCTGAACAGTGTTTTGCCGGTTTTGTCGCGGATTTTCGATTGGTCATAACTTCTTCGTTATAACTCGGATTTTAGTGTTCTTTATGTTTTCGGAAACCTTGTTACAATCTCTATCACTTGGTTCATCCCAACCGAGATTGTTAAATAATTTATTTTTCAGGGTCAATTATATAAATATGCACATTATGCTAAAATTGCTCTTTATTATTATAAAAAGAACTACACATTAACCTATACTATTACATAGGTTTGAAATAACGATTTGTTACAATATCCTCGAGAGTCTGTATGGTCCGCTCACTCTGACCGTCCTTCTGTGGATGATAGGCTATACTGAAGTGCAGCCGCGTGCCCAGTTCCTCGTGTAACTTGTGCCAAAAACGGGAAATAACTGTATTACCCTTCTTTATTTATTTTTTGAGTTATTTGTTGATTATTGATTGTTTATTTTATATATGTATTTATTATTTATTTAACAATTAAAATGAATTAGAGTTACCCTTTTTATTTATTTTTTGAGTTATTTATTGATTATTGATTGTTTATTTTATATATGTATTTATTATTTATTTAACAAATAAAATGAATTAGAATATACCTAAACCTAACCTAAATTGCATCCAATATATACTTTACCCTCTCGTTTTTCCTCCCATGCATCTAACTTCACCGTCTTCCCGATCCTTTTCGTCCTCTGGTTATCAACAATCGAGGGTTCTCCTTTCCTACATCTTCTCATTCTATTTCTTAAACTCATCTGTAAGTACAAGATGCATCTAGGGTTTTGATCGGAAGAGGGTCTTGATACCTATTTATCATTCTTGTAACCTATCTGGTTCTTGATAATAACCTTCAGAAACCACGGTCTAGGGTTTTGATTTCATGATGGCTGCTTATGTGGTCTAGGAATGGTTCGTTTTACCTGAACGAGAATGTGGAAGGAAGACTGACAGTCTGGTGATTTAGGGGGGCTGACGTTTCACCGATGATGGTGGGCTAAAGATGATCGTCTGGTCATGTGAGTGATTTGGTGTTTTGTTCTTTTGATGTCTAACGAGAGAAGAGAAAATACTTTTGGAAACATTCAGAGCTATCAATCTGCACTTGAAAGTCGTCAATCTGAACTCGAAAAATGTCGTCGTCTGATTCGTTGAGCGTTACCATTGCCACTGTCGGGCCACCGAAAACCACCAACACCACCTTCTCTCATCTACCTTAAGATCTATCGAAAACGTAATTTTGTGTCCATTCGCATTTGAATGCATTGATTCTAGTTTTGTTTTCTGATTTAAACTTCTCATTTGAATTCCGGGTTTTGATTTCTGGATTTGATTTCTTGGTTAAATGGATTTCTGGCATCGAGGTTCATCTAGATTTTTTGATTGTTTTCCAATAGGAGAGATGATGGTAATTTAGTCTAGTATAGAGGTGGTGATGATTTTCGGTGACATAGTGGTGGTAGTTTACTACGGGAGAGAGAAACCAGATGGGGGAAAGGATAATACATTTAACATTAAATAAATTAATAAACTAACAATAATAAATAAAAAAATAAAATGAAATACATTTAACAATAAATAAATTTAAAAAAGGAATTAGTAAGGGTAATATAGTCATTTCACGTCTGGTAGGGACTAGACGTGCAACAAAATTACATCTTAAAGACCTTCCGAGTTAAAAAAAAAGAATTAGGGACCAATCGCACAGATTACCCAAACCACAGGGACCATTCGCATAATTTACTCTTAAAAATATTTTGGCCAAGAAAAACCAGTAATAGTATTCAAATAAAACTAACTCTTAAAATAAATATAAGAGACAATTCTAGACCAATTATTTATAGGGTCCTACTTTTGACACACCAATCTACAACACTAACCTATATACACACATCACTCTGCTATATTACACTCAATTTCATGCTACTTTTTTTTATCATTATTATCATATAATTTAACCTAATCATTATGCTTAATAATAAATATCTTACAACCTAATTATTTCATAAACTTTATTATTTAATTATTATATTATTATTATTACTTTTATTATTTAATAATTATATTTTTATTACCAATTAATTAATTATATTTACTTTTTGTTATTTAAATATTTTATTTCAAACTTATTTTTTTTAATTAAGTTAAAAAGAACAAATATATAAAATTATTATATTTTACAAACTATATATACACCTTAAATCATTAAATCATCATATAGTAAATTACAACATGCATTGCAATGCATTTTTATATTTACTGAAAAATACTCAAAAAATTTATGGGTTTAATTTATGATTTTGTAATTTATATATAATTACAAACCAATTAAAAAAATTAATAAAAAATAAAAATATTAAAAAGTTGATTAAATATTTCGCCGGCGATAACGCTGAAATAGGAGACATTTGGTACATCAAATAATTATACATATAAAAACTAAATATTAGAAGTTATATTTCATCGTCGCTTCGCCGGACCACTGAACCACCAAGTTGCCGCCGTTGGACCACCGAATCCCCGGACCATCAGGCGTTACGCCGATACCGTCGTCATATTGTTTATAGTTTTTTCTTACTTTTTCAACTTTTCTTTAAACTTTTTACAACGTTTGAACATATATTTTTTACGCTTTTTTCACAAAAAAAAAGACACTTTATAAAAAATAATTCATGAGTTGTAAAAAAAGTTTCAAATTCAAATGATTTGATTTTGTTAAAAGCGAGTTTCGAATAAACGGAAAAAACGTCAAAAAGTTAAAATCAAAAAATAAATAAATAAACGTTATATCTACATATTCGAATAAAACGGAAAGAAAATTTAAAAAAATAATTAAATAAAAAAAATAATAAATTATAATATTAATAAATAATGACTTTAAATAATTTAGATAATTAATTTAATATTATTAAATAAGTTAGATCCTTTATTTTTTGCAAATTAAAATGTAATATTATTAAATAGACAAAACTGTAAAAATAGTTCTTGTGGTATGCATTTTTTTGGGGTTTTAGTCCAAACCACGACTTTTTTGGATTCGTAGTCCTTTTGGACTAGTTTGTATGTGAAAATAGTCCCTCTGAAAATTTGGAGTATTTATTTTTCATTTTTCTTTCATTATTTTAAAATTTAATATTTATTTTAACAATTAAAAAATAATAAAGGACTTCTCTTTCTCTCTCTCTCTCTCTCTCTCTCTCTCTCTCTCTCTCTCTCTCTCTCTCTCTCTCTCTCTCTCTCTCTCTCTCTCTCTCTCTCTCTCTCTCCCGTCTTCTTCCCCACCTACTCCTTCTCGATTTTTCTTTCTTCCATTCACAATACCTTCAACCCAAAATCAAAAAGGAAAATACGACTGTTGTTGGACCACCGGAGATCGTTCTCACAATTTTCTCTAGGAAACTTCGACTTTTTCCAGACTACCGAAGGACCTTCGATTGCCGCCCAACCTGTGGCACCACCGTCTTTTCCACTGCCGCCATTGGCGCTATTGCAGGCCATGGCAGATTGGCAGGCACGACAATGGTTGCGTGTTCTTCTTTCTCTAGAGGTCTTTCTCTTTCTCCTTCGTTCATACTCTCTTTCTCCCTCTCGATTCTCTTCTAGCTCTCTCATCTCTCTGATTTCAACTAAGACACACAATTTTCAACTAAGACACACAGTTAGTAACTTACCTGAAAGAAATGTGGAGGACAAATTGGGAAGAAACCCAGATCATAAAAATCCCTAAATTTGACCCACCTGTTACCTGTATCTGGATCTGTGGGCGGTGACAGGTGTTCGGAGATAACAACATTGATGGGTGTTAAAAGGAATATCATCGATGGTGGTGGGGACTGCCCACCACAGCAACGACGGCGAGTAGTGGTAGCACAACAGCTCTGTTGCTTCCGTCTTCCCAATACAGCGGTGATCGAAGAGGAAAGAAGGAGCAAGGATTGGGGTTTGTTTGGGTTGCTCAGATCAACAGAAAAGAAAAAGAGATGGGGGTGAGGCTGGAATGGTTCTATGGTGGGCGGATATGTAGCGGTTCACGGTGGAGTTTGGTGGTCGAATAGAGGCTAGCAGGTGGTGTGGTGGCTATCTCCAGATTGCCGGAGGTAGCAGCCCCTTCTTGTTCGTTGAAATCGGGAACAAAAGAAAGAAATGGGTATATGAGAGAGAGAGAGAGAGAGAGAGAGAGAGAGACTTTTATTTTTTAATTAGTTAAATAAATAAATAAGTATTTAGATTTTTAAAAAATGAAAGAAATGAAAAATAAATAACCCAAGGGTATTACAGTCATTTCACTGTTCAGAGAGACCAAAAACACAATGAAACTAGCTTAAAATGACCATCAATCCAAAAAAGTCGTGATTTTGACTAAAACCCCAAAAAACTGCATACCACGGGGACCATTTTTGCAATTTTGTCTATTAAATAAGTTGATATTTTATATTTTGCTAATTAAAAGAATATGTAACAAACAAATAAAAATAAGATATATATTAAAAAAAATGGAAAGAACAAAGAATCAATGAACGGTGATATCACAAAATATTAATTAAAACTTAGTTGATATCACAAAATATTTTATTTCTATTTTGCTTCAATATAATATAAATTAAATAGAAGTCATTGGAAAATACTTTATTATTAAGATTATAGTAAATAAAAATAATTTACGTCAAGGTTTAATAATATATATCATAAAATTGAAAGCTGTAAATTAAAAGTTTGATATACGTGAGGGTTAGTTAAAAAAAATAATAATAAAAAAAATAATAAAAAATTATATGCTGCGTGGCTTCTTAACAGCCAAAAGAGGCGTGTGGCCTTTTTCTTGAAAAAGTAATGGATTAGTTATTTGTAGATGGCTGAAGTGTATATAGATATTAGATTAGATTAGATTAGATAGGCTTCTATTAAATTGTGTGACAGGTCAAGATAGAGTGGTGTATACTATGCAGTTATTGCGGTCAAAATTTCAATAGCGGTCACACCGCTATTTGAAATCGTGGTTTTCGTGGTGATATAACGGTGTTATAACGGTTTTTTAATATTACATATAATTTAATAATTTTATATTATATTTAGAATTAATATCATAAAACCTAAAAAGTCTATATAGAATTAATATAATAAAATCTAAAAAGTCATAAAAACATAACATAATATTCAAAATTCTAATATAGTAATATAGAAACTACGTGGTGTCAAATATAGTTTAATCGCATGGCATGGGTTCGGCATCCGAGTCAACATCATCCAAGGCATTCACTTCTTCATCAAGATCATTCCCCACATCTATAACATCATCATCATCATCATCATCTCTATAACGTTCTCGTTTTCTCCTAAAATATTTGGTTGAGCGTCTACATTTGCTCCCATTGCTTCTTGCACATCTGACCAAAGAAGGTCATCACCACCATCCACAAAGTCTTGAAGCTCATCTTCCGTTGGTATTGTCCAATCATCATTCTCCTCAACATGTCGTAGCAAAATAGGATCCAAAGATTTGTTTTGTAAAGACATGAACCGCTTTTGCAACCTTGTGTTGTATTGGATGAAAACAAGTTCATTTAGTTTTTGTTGCAAAAGACAATTTCTTTTCTTAGAATGTAGCTGCAACAAGAGAATTAAAAATAATTTAGTTAATATGTTAGATGTTCCAATCAAACTAATATCAATTACAATTAACAACTTAACATTAATCAAATTAGAAAGGTAACAAAATTTATTACCTCTTCCATATTCTCCAATGACATTGATCGCATCTTAGAAACCTTCATCACGTACAACATTGAAAGGTAACCCTACCGAATAAGCCCAAACCGCAATCTTTTTCCAAGCTACCTTCTTCAACTTCTCTTTAATCGGATTATTCTTATCCAATGTAGTTTGCTTTCCTTTTCCATGGTCTAACTTATAAACATCATCAATAGGACCCCGTACATTACTAGAACTTACAAACTTTCTTTTTTTTAACTTGTGGGGTATCGTCTTGCTCGTCCTCATTTTCAGAAAGGTCTATACAACTTGTTGATCTAAGTATTTCTGTTGTTCTTTTTCTTTCCTTTTTTTTCTTATCTTTTTCTTTCATTGATTCAAGCACTTTCTTGGTGATCTCCGTAGTCACCTTACTGCAAGCAGCTACATTTCCTCCCGTATGAGTGAGGTGTTCTTTTAACCTTGTGATCCCTCCACATACTCTCTTGTCACACAAGGTGCACCAAATATTTTGTTTTTTTAATGGATCCTTTTGAACTCCCCATTCCCAAGCCATATCTTTATTTCCAGTTACACTAGTTGTATTGGCATCCGATCTCGTATTAGTATGAGTGGTGGTGGGCGGATTCACTGAAGCATGTGAAGAATTCACTTCCATATTTGCCAATTCACAAATGATTAAACCTGTTTCAAAATCACATGTCATTAGACTCATTACTTATTATTCATTAACAGAATAACAACTTAATTTTTTATGTTCCTATTTCCTAAATCTTAACAGATTACATCACATGAGTACACAAACTGACAAACATAAATGGACATTGGAATATGTAAAATTGTATGAAACTAATCAGTGGAATAACAGCTTGATATCCATGCAACATAACTGATCATTGAAATATATCATATATGTAAAATTGTATGTATAACAGTATAAGTAACAGATTAACAATGTGTATAGAAGCCGATTAATGGAGAATGGAGTCGATGTAGAAAAGAAAGCATTAGGCTGTTACCTGTTACTCTATTAAGCTGTTAAGCAGTTGGAACTTGGAAGCCGATTGATGGAGAATGGAGTCGATGTTGTGCAGCTGTGGAGGTCGATTGAAGGGCAGTGAAGCAGGCTCGCAGTCGATTAACTAAGAAATAAGGTCTGAACTCTGAAGAAGCAGCCTCGCAATCGCAGACTCCCAGGTGTGTTCGTTACTTTGTGTTCGGCATAGCAGCTCAAGCCTCAGCCCTCGCCCGGTCGCCCCTCATCAACTCACGTTCGTCTTTCTTTTGTGAACACTGAATTGTACTTTGTCTTGAATGATTTTAATCAGGTTATTATTTATTGGGCATTGGGCTTTTTACCGGACTCACTAAAACTTGGTTTTTCATTTACAAATTAATCAAATGGCCCAAATTTGGTTCAAATCATCAAAACATAAAATAAAATGAAATAGCGGCAATAGCGGCGCTATCTCGGTCTAGAAAATAGCGGTAATTAGCGGTTAATTGCGGCGCAAATTGCGGTACCGCTATCTGAAAACGCAAACTTGAAAATAGCGGTTGTAGACTACTGCGAACCGCTATAGCGCGCAATTGATAGCATATGGTGTATAGTAGAGATGATGGTGTGTAAAAAGAAATTCTCAATTCCCTTATTTATAAGGGTATTTTTGGGTTTCCAACTAATAAAGAAATGCCATTTTCGGATATATGAGATTTCGTTTCTCTCTCTCTCCATGTGACTTCATCGCCTCTGATATTCCGATTGTGTCGACCAAGATAAACACCTACGTCTACCGGCGTCACTTAAATCCCTTTGAAGTCCATCTTCGATCATGAAAGCATCCTATCCGACAAAGGTTCTAACTTTTATCTTCTCTTCCACCACGATTTCCGATTCTAGGGTTGTACCCAAAAATCCCACGCAGCCTTAGTTATCTCTTCTTCCCACAGATTTAATTCGAATTTAAATCACCCTAAATAAACAAAGGTCGGAAGATCATCTGCATGCATTCAGATCGAAATCGAGCCTTCAATTTTGGGCTTTAGTTCGAAATCGAGAACAACAGGTTATTAGTTTAACCTTTTTTTTTTGTTTCTCGAAAATTTTGAAGTTGCTCATGCATATCAGTTTGGTAGTTTGTAATAGTCTATGTTTGGTTTGTAGCAATGCTTAAATCAGTACCGCCTACCAAGTGCTCGATGAAATGCCATCCATTTGTGTTTGATTTCAATTTCGATTTTCACTCGATCCAACATCAGGTATGTCGTCTTTTAAAATTTCCTGTGAAGTTTTTTTTGTCTATCTAGGAAAACCTTGCAGCTATTTGATTGGTATTGTGAAGTTAATGAAACGAAAACAGGTAGCAAATAGTGACCCATTTAGATAGGGTTCTTCTCATTTTTACTTTGTATTTTCCAAATCTCTTTAGTATTGCAAACATGTGATTGGATGTACGAGAAAATTATCATATATATACTTTCAACTAGGAAGTTAATGTGATGCGCTTATTTGATGTATGTAGACTCCTATAAAATCCTGGATCATATTGCAGAGACTTGATGACTAATTTGATTATTAATTTGTTTTTACTGCTTCATGTTGCTCTTATTTGATGTATGTAGTGTTGTTTATCGAACTTTACAAAATGTTATTTGTAATAATATTGCTCCACTAACAACGAAACGAATGTATTTGTTTTTGTAAGGGAGACTCAATGCTAATTGTCATAATTGTTGAGAAATATTAATTCCAATAAAGGTCGCAAGGTTGGATTATTAATTCCAATAAAGGTTGCAAAATAAAATAAAAAAATGATGTCGCTGCAAGGATTCGAACCTGGGAACCTCACTGAGGAAACTTTTATCCGATTGTTTTTCCACAGCAGCTTATGTTGTTGATCATGCCCCATGCTTATATTTATATAAAATTCCACAAATCAAATACAAAGGAAAATACAAACCTTTTTTCATCAACCAACTAACGTTTCGTTTATTAAAGACCGACGTGACGCATATTAATTCGAAATTAGGCGAATAGCTGCGCTCGGAAACGTCAAATTATATATTTAAAATTTTGACAAATTAATATTAAAATTAATATATGTTATTGATATTTTGTATAATAACACCATTTATATTTTACATTAACATTTCATGTTATTCAAAATACAAACATTTTCATTTTTACAAATATTGCAATGTTGTTTTCTGTATTTGATGATTTATTTTCTATCAAAGCAAAAACATCCAACAAATACTATAAAACCTATGTTCGTTTATCACCATACATCTTTACTACTCCGCTTTAATGCAGATCATGCCATTGAAAAATGCACAAAGTGACATTTATATTCATTTTGTAGTCTACATTATCGATTAAGTAACAAATGTGATGCATTTATTACTTTTTAAATGCATATCTAAGCATCATATTATCTTTTATATTCCAGCATCGGCAAACTAAAACCACATACACATATTTTGGATACCAACATCTAATTCTTATTAGAGACTAATACAAGCACACCCCTGCCATAAAAAAATGTTTGGTACAAGATTAAAATATGCATGACTTGTTTTTAGTTCACATGTGATATTTTATATGATCAAAAAGGAGACCATGACTTTAATGAAAATTAAGACCAATAAACATGTAAAACAATTTACATATTATTTATATGTAGCAATACATTTGCTAATATGGCTTCAAATTTTCCAATACCTTCCGGGCTTCAATAAATCCATGTTGCGGTCCCAACAATGAGTATTTCATTGTTTTCCACATATTTTAATATTCATAAATATTAAAATGGTTTTTACAAAAATTCTTAAGAAAACTAAAAAGATTTATACGCATTGATATGTATAGAAGTGTCAAATAGTAAATGTGGAGATAATTTCCTGGGTTGAGGGGAGGATGATGAAAAGCAAATCTCTTCAAAGATATTAAATAGAAGTATCAAATAAATGTGGAGATAATTTTCGTTGTTGAAGAGAGGATGATGAAAACCAAAACTATTCAAAGAATTTACACTTGGTCAACAAGATTTATTTGTGTATCAATATGTGCAAAAGTGTCTACCCCAAATATAAGATACGACATATTGGAAGGAACTATATATTGAATAATTGGTAAAAATAAAAGAAAATCTTGAAATTTATATGAAAAACAATACCCACAGAAAAAAGTCATTTTTCCTCCCTTAGAGGTCCTTAACCGTTGTAGAATATGACAAAAATGTTCGTATTATTCACATTATTTACATTTGGTCGTGTTATGTTTGATGTTTTTCATGTTATTTTACATTAAATAACAAGTTAATAATAATTATTAAGAAGTCTTTTGAGTGATAATAATTAAATTAAGAGGTTTCAAATGCATAAGAATCAAGCAAAATGTTTGTTTTATAATATAGTAGACATAATCCCGCAGGTTGCGCATGTTTAAAATAGTCATTGTGAAAATTTCAATTTTTTTAGATATGTTCGAATTTACTTTTGTAACCATATTTTTTGTTTATATTTATAATCTTAATTTACGTAAGAAGTTTTTTTATTATACATATTTAAACCTAATTTAGAAAACAATAAAAAAATTAATTTAGTGGTTTTTTTCTTTGTATTTAATATAATCCAAACTTAATTTAAACTTTGTTTGTTATAATAATTATTGTATATTATCATTTTTTTTATAACATCTAATTTACTTTAAATATTTTAAAGACTTTGTTTTTATCAAACAAATTTCAAAAATTGTTTCGGTGGTTTGCTGATTTTTTTGCTTGCCGTTTAGTGGGTTTTAAAGTTGTCGGTTTTTGTATTTTGGCCTATTTTGATTCCTGTATTTTAGCTTCCAAAATTTTTTATTTTATTTATTTATTGTATTAATAGCGATTGTCATCGTAAAAAGAGAAATGAAGGATTTAATGTACAAAAGACTACACTCTAACTCTTTTCGTTTGCCTCTAAATATACAATCACATTAATATCTACTTATTTCACACATTATATAACAAACAATGTAAAGGATATTAGCAATTATTCATTGGTATTTGAATTTATTAGTTAACAATTACAATTCGTAATTAAAACTAATAATTTCTATTATGTATAATTAATTATGCAAACTCATGAACAAATTACAATTCATAATTAAAACTAGCAATATGGGTCACACCTAAAACCAAATCAATACTGAACTCGACCTGCCTCTCTGAAATTGAAACTTGTATCTTGACTCGGGCATCAACCACATAAGCAAGATAACCCATGCACCCATGTCGGATACACTGACGAGCTCTGGCAGCAGAACAAAAGTCTGATCCCTATCTGGTACCCTATCCATAAATAACCAGTTCTCCCACACTTGGGGTTCGAAGTCGAACTATCACCTGCTGACCCTCGCAATCGATCATAGCTCCGAATCTACTCAGCTAGTCATACCTTACAATCACACACACGTCTCCCATGAGAATAAGGATCAGATAAATCGAGTAAGGCACCCAAAAAATCTCCAAAACACAATCCCAGAAAACACTAGATGCAGAAATCTCGTGTTCGTTGGCGATAGAAACCCGCAACGGACACTCCGACTCTCCAAGGGTCATATCGAAACCCCTGCTAAAAGATTGAGATACAAAGGACCGAATCCCGCCCGAGTCGAATAACAAAAAAGTAGGCAAAGAATTCACTAAGAAGGTACTGATCAAAATCATAAACATAAGCATATCATAAAATAATTGACAAAATGATGAATGGAAACATACCAGTAACAACATCTGGCGCCACCCTGGCCCCTCTACTGTGATCTGAAAAGCACGACCTCGAGCCCTCGGGGGCTTCGCCCTTTCCTGGCTCCCATCGGTGATCCTCAACGTAGCTGGTGTTCGAGCTTGCGTCGGTCCCGCAGTGAGCAAAGGGCAGTTGACCTTAATATGGTCAACCTGCTCATAGTGATAACAAATCTTTTTGCTCGGTACTGGGACCTGTTGGCAACAATCCTTGGCATAATTCCCTTCCTTGCCACATTTGTGGCACCAGAAGAAGATCGTCAAGAACTATCATGAACCTTGCCGCACTTACCACAAGTGAGACCCCTCTGACCCCCAAATCTCACATCAGTGGCCTTGAACCGCTTCGCTGTAGGCTGCGCCTGCACCGGAGCCTGCCTCCTTTCCCTAGTCTGGAGCTTTATCTCAATCTCCCGCCTCCACACGGCCTCCTGAAGCTCCACAAGTGTACCATAGCGCTGAGTGGATACAAATAGGTAGATGTTCGTCTTGAGCATGCTTAAGTACCGGGTCATCTGAGCTTGCTCAGAAGTAGCAAATTAGGACCAAACAGTGCCCTCTCAGTAAACATCTTGGTGATCTCAGTCACCGACTCAGTCCCTTACCTCAGATCCAAATACTCCTGGATTTACATGAATGTTCATCCAATTCTCTCAAACCAAGGCTCTGATACCAACTTGGAACACCCAAAAAATCATAGAATTTAAAATTTTTAAATCAACCATTAACCAAAATTGTTTACAAAAAGAGTCATTGTTTCAAAAGTATTATTAAAAATCAGAGTTTTCCCAAGACCCAACAACATAAAATAGGTATCTGACCGAACACAGCTCTGAATGATAACTCAAGTGGTCACCTAAACACCAAATAATAACCCATCTCAAATACCACTCAAATTACCTAAAATACCCTTAGGTCAAACTTAGTCAAAGGTCAAAGTCAACAAACCGACCGAGTCAACCCAACAGAGTATGCTAGGCATACTCATCTGTATGCGGCGCGTACTTCGATTGACCCAAAATTCGGGACCTTGACCGCGTACGCGCAACGTATCGCTCAGTATGCCCAACGTACGCACCAGATCAGCCCCTTTTCTCATTAAGAGCTTAACACCTCAAGTCCTTATGTCCAAAGTCAGATCCAAGGCCCAAATGACATCCTTGATCATAAAGTTTCCAACTTTATAATCTTGCATGGCCAAAAAGTGCTTAACACTAAAAACCTTAACTACTTAACCCATTAAGACCTTGTAGCACATGCATGGAAGGGAAGAAATGATCAAGACCACATTTTTATGCTTCTAAACACCTCAAAATGTCTGAAAGGGAAGCTTAAATGGATTGGAGTAGCTCATACTCAAAATACCAAACCAATGGGACCAAAAGAACACAAACTTCATAGCTAACTTAGATCTATGCATAACTTCATCAAGTTCATAACTTTTTTACCTCTAAGTGATGCGAAATGGTGATGGGACTCTAGATCCAAAGAGTTCTACTCCTCCAAGATGATCTTCTCTTCTTCCTCTCTTTTCCAAGGTGACCAAAACACGCACATACAAAGCTCAATAGTGCTCAAAAGTGGATTAGGGTTTGTTTGGGGATGAAGGTAAGTTGGAGGTTGATGAAAGAAGGTAGGTTGGGGACTTATGGATGTTTAAATAGGGTCCAAACCGTAAAAATTAGGGTTTGGGAATCATGCACGTACGCCCCGCGTACGTGAGCTCGCCCCAAAATTACAAAAATGTCACTATGGGCCATTTTGCAAGCTTTCTCATGCACAAAGGCCAAAATGCAATAATTCTTCATACTTGGGGTTAAAATTGAAAATACCACATCGTCAGAATGTTACAATTTATAGTTGTATACTTTTGTTATAGTTATTTGTTGCTTTTAAATCTCTAATTGTCTCAGCAAAAAAATACCACATCGTCAGAATGTAAGTATGTTGCTTTTAAATCTCTAATTCCTCACTACTTTTAACGTGGTTGTTTTTTGCTTATTGTCTCAGCAAAAAAAGGAGGCTGCATATTTCCTTTTTCTTTTCTACATTAAAACGATAAATGATTTGATTATTCCTTTTATTTGTTGTAGTGTACCACCAACAAAGAATGTCAATCTGCGCATCTATAATGAAGTGTGATGTCCTTTGTTCCTCACTACTTTTAGCAGTTTCTTATATTATTACTATTCTATTGTGTACTTATTTGATGTTTCTCTATTTATTTTCTGAAATGTATAGGATTCTAAAGAGTCGCCTAATGAGGTACTTCTTCTTGATGCCAAACAAGGTCGGTCCATAATGAAGTTGATTTAATTACTTGGATCAATTTCACCTTTTGTCCTTCATAATATTCATGCCGTGTACTGAGATTTGAATTTTACTTGTAATAATCTTTAAGTGCAACACATCTACGGGATGTGTTCTACAACATGGGGCTATTTGACAAGGATATGGTCGCACTTTCTGGTTCCCACACTTTGGTCCGTTTTCCTCTCATAATTGTTAATTCTATCAAGTTTAATTCCATTTTAGGATGAAAAATTAATAAAAATTTGTTTCATTTCACAACTGCAGGGGAAGGCACGTCGTGAGAGATCAGGATTTGATGAGAAACCTTGGACCCAAGATCCTTTCAAGTTTCACAACTATTATTTCGTGTAAGTAACATCTTTCTATAAAATTCAAATAGTGCTCGATTCATCAATTTTCTCCTTTTCGATAATTTGAGAAACTATGTGTAATGATGAATGAATGAATCAAAGAGCTTCAAAAGGGAGATTCAGATTAAGATGGATTACTGAAACTTCCAACTGATAAAGCCTTACTAGATGACCCAAACTTTCTTGCATATGTTGAGCTTTAGAAAAAGGTATAACTTATAAGTATGAGATATTCAATCATTCATTCTATGAATAATGTGGAAAAAAATTAAGCTTGTGATGTGGACATGGATTGTATAGGATGAAGATGCGTTCTTGAAAGGCTATGGTGAATCACACAAGTAGCTGTTGGAGCTTGGTTTCGTTCTTTATTTTCTTCCAACTCCTCTCAATTTTAAATTGATGAACATTGTGAAATTTAATTTTGGAATGTAAGTGTAAAATGGTCATGTTTTGGAATGTAAAGTTAAAATGGTCATTTATTTTTTGGTCGTGTGTCCTCCAGGAGTTGGTTAATTGGTGTTTCAACATGAAGCTAAATCTCCTTTAGGTGAAGTGATGAGAGCATGCTGGAACCAGACATTGTTGTTACATTCTTGTTGAGCTTATGTAAATAATAGATCAAAATCATACAGATCTCAAAGGAGTACATTGCTTCACCTAATTAACTAAACCCTTCTAATTTATTCCAACTTTTTTTTAATCTATTTTTGTATTATAAATTTAATAAACATGATGCACAGTAATGTTAACTCGATGCTTGGAATATTGATTGTTTACATGTATTTTAATATGTCTCATGTGAAGTTAACTCCGTCTGTTAAAAGAATCTCATTCCATTTTCAATGGAGGCAATTTTGTCGTAGTTGTTTTTTTTTCTATGACCATTAACAAAAGTCAACGGCAGTCATTATCAAATGGTGGATTATATCTGGCGGACACCCGTCTTCACTCATTGTCAGTTATATTTCGTTGTTTTTCGCGTCACACGTAAAAAGGATTGAAGGTACTCATATGTGACGAGGAAGGTCGTCCAACGAAAAATGTTGTCTACTAAAAGGAACTTCAACGATTATGGATATTCAAACATTTCATTATTTTTTTCATACATTTCATTGTTACCAATAATGCTAAGTATGTTTCTGTTAATATATTATTATTATTATTTTTATTATTATTATGCCAAAAAAAAAACACGAAAAGAAAATAAATTAGATTCAAGATTAAAGAGTAATTTCGTTAGTTCCAGATCCTCCTTTTTCCTATGGTTTATTTCTAATAGAGATTAAAGAGTAATTTCATTATTTCCGAATCCCCCTTTTTCCTATGTAACTAGTTATTATGTTAAGAGTCCTAGTTTTACCGGTTTATGAGTTACCATGTAATGTTCAAAAACAAGTTAGACACTAAATTGATGTAGAGATAAATTTGGCTATACATGATAATCTAAGAGTTACATATCTATGACCAAGACAAGTTAACCAAGAACAAATTATGGATCAATTATGTTCTCTAACATATCAAAGTTGCTAACTTGTATCACCTAATTCTAGGATTTGTTTAATCACTAGATCTAGCAATTCAATGTTCATAAACAACTAGATAACAAATTTATGCAGATAGAGTGGTCATCTACTACACTAAACTTGGTTGCATGCATCACCGAGGTGATTGCTTGTTCGGTCTAATTGAAGAAATTGACTACTTGGCCGTGGATCCTACTGCTTTGTTTGAAGCACCGATGAAACGTGCTTTCATCGTCATGCTTCCCTTTGTATTATGAGCTCTGGTGGCCACCTCTTGCCTTGGTTTTCAGGGTAATCATTTTATATTGATTTCAATATAGACCGACTTCAATCTCCTTCATCTCTTTCTATTATAGTAGTTTTTTGCTATCTCTTTCTTTAGACAATGCTTTGGGTTAGTTATTTCGACCTCAAATCGAAGCTACATGATTAGGGATTTTTTTTGTTTTGCTGTGTTCTTTTGCTGGATTATGGCTCTATCTCCGTACAAAGTTTTAGTTCCAGAGGTTGGATTAAACAAGAAAGGACCTTCCCCCTTTTCCTCTGATGGTGGTCGGGGACATATGACGTTTCCGCGTGCCAGGGCAACTTTCGTTTTTCCTGATTTAGGTAATCTCTACTATCGACTTAATTCTAAAATATAAGCAATCGATTTTCAATCATTTTTGTGGAATTTTAACAAAGGGGTGATATTGATGGTTTGGGAAGCATAAAAAGGATACAGATTCAGGTTGGTTTGCCGATTTGGGTACCAGTAGAAATCCAATGCCAAGTAGATAAGAGAGATTCGGAAGTAGAGTTTATAACCACCTTCAACCTTCTCTGTTCTCTGCAATGTCATGGATTCTTTTTTAGGTTAGTTTCAATTGTTTTTTCTTTGTTTTGATTATAATGGAGCTTAATAACACCTCATAGTCTACATCTTGATAATATATTGAAGCCTTGGAGGAAACTGCTGATTAGTTTTACCCAGAAATTAGATTTACGAGACCAATGATTATTATAAAATTAGCAATTGAAAAAGGATTATCTTTTTAGGTGTTTTGTGTTAGGATAATACCACAATCTCAATGTACACCAGGTGTTTGTAAAATGCAAACATCACCGTTAACTTGTTGATTTCTCAAGAAAGAAAAAAAAATACAGGAACAAGTAGTAGAATGGTATTTGAAGTAGGGTGTGGCTTAATTTTTTTTTTTTTTTTTTTTTTTTATAGTATCTCATGCTTTAAGAAATGCTCAATGATAAAAAGTGCTTGCTGATTTAAATAAGTAGCTTTTAATAAGTTATCCTATACCCTTATTTTATATTGGATGTTATAAATCAATCATTTCTTTACAGAAAATTTAATTTTATTTTTTTAATCTACAAGTGTTTTCCTAAACTTCTTGTGTGTCGAGGGAAAGAAGCAAGTATTCTCATTAGAATAATAGCAGCATAAAGTAGCGTCTGCTGACTTAATTTATGCAAGTTTAATGATTTTACACCAAACTATTGCATCTGTAGTCAATCCAATGTATTAGTTGATTGATAAAAAAGTTTCAACAAATGATGTCTTTCATCGTTTGTCTTCTTTAACAGGCTTTGTTCTCTGAACTTGCCATCTCATGCATGTGTGTGTGTGTTTGTGAAAATCATAATGTATATGTTATTTCAGTGGCTTACAAGCTATCCAAGAGAAAAATTGATGATAATTTGTATTCAGTGCATAACATCCTTTTTGGAAAACGAGCAAAGGTGAAAAATTAACGAACTTAACAATCTGTTTATCTTTTTTTTTTTTTTTCTACATGTACCTTGTTGACACATACAAAAGTTAAGTTTTTCTGGTCAATGTTGGCTTCTGATTTTGTTGATTATGATGCATATTTTTTTTCAGCGGATCAATTTGAAGAACATTGGTATGTTGATATGGCCTTGTCTGGATGATGACAAGATGTAACCTTATATTCTTTATGTAATATTTATTACTTTAAAATCTATTTTTTTGGTTAAGAAGATTGTAATGGGTTGGAAATGGTCAACTTCATGTAAGGTTTCACATTTACGTTTGCAACAAGTAAAAAGATATAAAATGAAAATATAACAAAAAATAACGCACATAAGGAATTATTTAAGCCATCTTACGGGTACTTGTTAATCTTTGGATGGATGACTACAATCTGTGACTTTCGGAAAAGCCTTGGACTTCAACTAAATATAAGAAATTAGAAATGTCAATGTACTTTCACTGATTTTTTATTATAGCATCCTACTTATATAGTACTTCTAAAAATTTACCCATTAATGGAATGTGATAGAAATAAAACCGGTGTTTTTCCTGGAATCACTTACAACTAGCTTACTGATCAATTATTTAGGGGCGTTCCTAGTCTTCTATCTTATTAAAAGACTCTTTTTTTTACAAATATCTCTCCCACAATCGTTTGCCATCAATGTTAAATTGATGTTATAACTAACATCCTACTTTTTAACTACTGTAGAATACTATAACTAATAAATCTGGAATAAAGTATGATGCTAAAAATTGATGTTATAACTAACATATCAGGAAAAAAGTAGGATGCGATAATTATGAAATTTGGAAAAAATATGATATGATAATTAAAAGATGTGATTCTGAATGTGACTCTGTATGTATGTGACTTTATAAGTGTGTGTGACCTATCTTCCTTAAGTAATTTTAATCATTGTAGCAACATACTTTCATTTTATGCATGTTTATCACTTAATAGAAGCATACTTTCATTTTAATAATAATTGCTGATTTTTTATTTTCTTAATTTCTTTTTCATTGTTTGTTGTAGATTGATAGCAGAAGTTTAGTATGTATTCAATTCCAATTTGATATATTTTTGTGTTTTTGTTTTACACAAGTAACTGAAAACAAAATTATCATTCAAATATTAAATATTCCAACAAATATAATTGGATTTTTAACAGTTTTCATATGAGTTAAGTTATCCTATCACATTTGAACTATATTTTGATTTCAAAGTCAAATAATTATATCAAATCTTATAAATACAGTTGATGATATATATTCCCATTTATATTGTATGCATATATTCAACTTACCCGCATTTGATGAAAAACTCCTCCTTCATCATCCGACTTCCTCCTGCATCCTCTCAATTCATTCTATTTATTTAAGAGATCCAAAATACATCTATTTATCTCTGCATCCTATAAAATATCTATAGTTGTAACACCAGGTTAGTTTCTTGGTTAAGAAAATATCATAGATAGTTGTAACACCCTGTTCCGAATCGTGTCCTAATGCGGGGTGGAGGCCCGAAGACCGAGTATCATCAGGCTTAGGGCCTTTGAGGAAAAGAGATTTAGACCCTTTTGGGTGTGGGTAATGTGATTTAGATTATCCGGGAGTTCAGTTGGTGTTTTGGAGCCAAGGGTATAATCGCAATTTGGCAGTTCGGGCCTTTATGAATTTTATGTTTTGGTTCGGGAAGTTTTAAGGCAAAGGTGAATTGTTAGAAGTATTGGGTTTCTCGTCACCTTTTCGTGGATATAAAGTTCGTCGGAAACAGAGTTGAAACGAAGAAGTTATGGCTGTTTGAAGTTATGGCAAAAGTGGTCCTTAGTGGAAAAGATTTGCAAGAATGGTCCCATGTATACATTTAATAAAATGCGGGTGTCTGGGTGTGTGCGCCCAACGTAATTGGCTGAGTGCCAAACCCTAAATTTTAGGGTTTGGGCACTATTTAAACATCATTATGAGCTCAAGGCTCTCTCATTTCTCGGCCCCACTAACCTTAGAGCCTCATTTCAAACCCTAATCCCTTGGTGGTGTGTTCTTGAGTTTAGAACTGATTTTGAAAAGTTTTTGGTGTTATTTCAAGGAAGGGAATCTTGGTGATCAAGCTTGGTGTGGCTTTGGTGTTGCAAATCCACAACCTTCACTCTCTTGGGAAGCTTCAGAAGGTATAAAGTTCTCATCTTGACTCCTTCTTATGCTAGTTTTGAGTTTAAGGCAAGGTTAGGAGCTTTTATGGTGTATTAAGTTCTCCTCGTAAGTTTGAGCCACTCCAGGAGCTTGGAGTGTTAGATCTTGCCCCTTCTGATGTTGTTAGTTCATAAGAATGCTATCTTGATTGTTGATATTGGACCATGCATGAGTTAGAGCCCTTATTATGGGACTTGATGGACAAAAGCGGATTTAGGGTCCCATTAAGACATACAAAAGGGTAAATTGCCAACTTTACGAGTTAAGGACTTAATTTGAAGGTTTCCTGAGGTTCGGGGGCTAAGTGCTTAATGGGTTAAGTCAGAAATGAGATTTTTGGAAGAATGCAATTACGCTGAGCGTAATGTGTGGTATGCCCCGCGTACCGGATTTTCACCCCGTCCCAAGCCATGGAGCGTATGCCGAGCGATCAGTATGTTGTTTTGAGTTTTGGACCTTTTTGGACCGTTTGGACTTTGGGGTTTTGGTCTTGGGTTGAGTTATTGGGCTTATTTTGTTGGACTGAGGATTTTCATTAAGGTTTGAACTTATTTGTTGGGCCTAGGATTGTGGATTTGGGCCTTAGTGGGCCCAATGGGCTTGGGCCATTAGTGGACCTGGTATGTTGGACCGTTTTTGGGCCTAGTGCTTGAATTTAGCCCTGGATATTATTAAGTATAGTTTGGTTGTTTAGCTCAGTTCGTGGAGACGGTTCGCAGCAGCTGCAACAATTATAGGATTTGTCTGTCGACTGAGGTGAGTTTCCTCACTGTGTAACGAGTCTAACGCACCAATGCCGGTCCATGATCTGTTATGTTAGAATACTCGTTGTCTTTGTGACAGTTGTATGTATATGTGCTTATATGTTTACTGGGCGGGGCCCGATGGTTACTCTCTATATATTATTACCTGCTATGCTTATATGAATTGTAGGTGGGCAGGTCCCGTTATGCGAGTTAGGGTGGGGCCCGTTATACTCCTTGGGTTGGGTCCGTTATGCGAATTAGGGTGTGGCCCGTTATGTGATATGTATGTATGGTATGTGGTATCTTGGAGAACTCACTAAGCTTTGTGCTTACGGTTTTCAGTTTATGTTTCAGGTACTTCTGTTTTCAAAGGGAAGAGCTCGGAATGATTGTAGGGCACACACCACATGATTCTCCATTCTGTGATTTACTCCGATAATGACGATGTATTGATAAAACTTTGATTACCTTGTTTTTGTAAAAAATGATATGTTTTACTATGTTAGTAATGTAGAAATGAAAATCTCGGGTCTTATTTTTGGGTTGTTTCATCCCACCTATTATATGTCGACGACACATTGTTTTTAGGTGAATGGTCAAAAGATAAAATTCAGAATCTTGCTAGAATTTTTAGATGCTTCCAGATGGCATCGGGCCTTAAGTTGAACTTCTATAAATCAAAAGTGTTTGGTATCGGGGCGGCATGGTTGGAAACCACTCGATGGGCCCAATTGTTAGGATCTGAACCTTGTACACTCCCATTTAACTAACTTGGGGTCCCGGAATGAGCATATATGAACAGGAAATGTAATTGAGCGATTTCAAGCAAAGCTTTCATCTTGCAAGGCAAAGAATCTGTCATTTGGGGGTCGGCATACCCTCATAAAATCAGTCCTGAGAAACTTACCAACATACTTTTTTATCTATTTTTGCTGCTCCCATAGGTGTGATCAATTCTTTGGAGAAACTGGGAAGAAGATTCTTTTAGGGAGGATCAGAAGACAGGAAGAAATTTGTTGGGCCTCTTGGGACAAGGTAGTAGCTGCAAAGGAAGTCGAAGGTCTTGATGTGGGGTCTATTAAAGCTCAGAACGTATCTCTACTCTGTAAGTGGTGGTGACGGCTGAAATCCAATCCCCCAGCTCTATGGAGTAGGGTCATCATGAGTATTCATAAGTTGGAAGGAAGAGCGGCTGAATATACAACTAATAAGACGATAACGGGCGTGTGGAATAATATAGCACAATTAAAGAAAGATTTTATCAAAATTGGCGTACCATGTTAGAAAATAATAAGAAGGAAGATAAACTCATGGTGTCAAACGTTTTTTGGGTTGACAATTGGTTGGGTGTTGGTCACCTGTTCCTGAGTTATACTGTATTTATTCTCATAAGAAGTGCATGGTTACGGATAGGATTATGACGCAGGTTTTCCGTGGTCTTGGAGTTGCACCCCGAACAGTAACCACCTAGTAACCACCTGAACCAACTTATTCAAATTATAGGTCCCATCCAACTAACAGAAAACCAAGAATCATCGACGTGTGATTTGGCATTAGATGGTCGTTACACAGCCGAAACTTTTGAGGTATCATATTGACAAAAAAAGCTCAACTTCACACATGACATCAATTGATTGGATAAAGGAGGTAGTCAAATTGGTGCAATGTATGTTTGGTTCAAACATAAGGGTAAAAATGGTAATGTTTATTGGAATAATTGGTGTTCATGCCCGCTTTTGTGTCTATAACGTCTGTTATTTCCCCTTTGTACCTTTGTATTTTTTTCCCTCTTGCACCTGATGGTTCGGCCTTTGTCTAGCTCCTTGCTAGTTGTTATCCTTGGTTTTTATATTATTTTATTTTATTTCATTTGCCGGTTCCAAAAAATTATTTACAAGGGTATTTTTGGCTTTCTAACTAATAAAGTACGGGCATTTTCGGATATAAAAAAATACTCCATTAGATATTAAATACCGAATAAAAACACACACTCTCTCTCTATACATGTGACTTCATCGCCTCTGATATTCCGATCGTGTCAACCAAGATAAACACCTACATCTACGGGCATCTCTTAAATCCCTTTGAAGTCCATCTTTGATCATGAAGCCATCCTGTCCAACAAAGGTTCTAACTTTTATCTTCTCCTCCACCACGATTTCCGATTCTAGGGTTGTACGGAAAAATCCCACGCTGCCTTAGTTATTATCTCTTCTTCCCACAAATTTATTTCGAATCAAAACCCCCGGAACATCATCACCCTAAAAAAACCAATGTAGGAAGATCATCTGCACACATTCAGATCGAAATCGAGCCTTAAATTTTGGGCTGTAGTTCGAAATCGAGTACAACAGGTTATTAGTTTCACCCTTCTTTTAGTTTCTTGAAATTATTAAAGTTGCTCATGCATATCAGTTTGGTAGTTTGTAATAGTCTCTGTTCTGTTTGGTATGGTTTGTAGCAATGCTTAAATGAGTAACGCTCGATGAAATGCCATCCATTTGTGTTTGATTTCAATTTTGATTTTCACTAGGTCCAACATCAGGTATGTGGTCTTCTAAAATTTACAGTGATGTTTTTTTTGTCTAAGAAAACCTTGAAACTATTTTGATTTGGTATTGTGAAGTTAATGAAACGAAAACAGGAAGCACGTAGTGACCCATTTAGATAGAGTTCTTCTCACTTTTACTTTGCATTTTCTAAATTTTGATTCTATTATCTCGCAAACATGTGATTGGATGTACGAGAAAATTATCATATATATACTTTCAACTCGGAAGTTAATGTGATGCGCTTATTTGATGTATGTAGAGTCCTATAAAATCCTGGATCATATTGCAGAGACGTGATGAATAATTTGATTATTAATTCACTACTAGAAAACTAGTCTAATAGCTACAACACAATCCGTAGCTATTCCGTAGCTATAAGCGAATAGCTACGGAATTGCTACGGAAAAATGGCTGTAGCATAATGGCCCGTGGCTAAATTATAGCTACGGATTAGCTACAGAATTGCTACGGAATAGCTACGGAATTTTCCGTAGCTACCATAGCTACGGAAATAAATAGCTACGGATTTGCTACAGAATAGCTACGGAAATGGATAGCTACGGAATAGCTACGGAACTAAATAGCTACGGAATAGCTACAGAAATAAATAGCTATGGAATTGCTACGGAAGTAAATAGCTACGGATTTTCTGTAGGTAATCCGTAGCTAATTACTTTTTATTTAAAAAGAAACAGTAAAAAATTATACAAAAATCCAGTTTTTTCTGTCCAAAATATTGAAAAAACTCATTACATTAAACTTATAATAATATTGAAATTCAACTACAAAACAAATAACATTATAATAAAACTAATAAACCTAAAAAAAGTATCAAATAAAATACATATTACTAATGAACATTGTCTAATAATACATTAAATGTTTCTACTAATACACATTAAAAGTGTCAACTACAAATGTTTAACTAAGTGCTTACAAACATAAAATTGAGAATCACTTGGTGGATTACTTGGCAAAATTATTAGGTATGTTGAATCGATAAAGGTTCACAAGTGTTCTTCAATTTGAGTTTTGAATCAAAGGGCGCCAATTGTTCCTGTTTCAACACACCATAATCAATGATCACGAAAAAATACAAATATAGCAACGTACTTTTATTTATTTGTTTATTATAGCCATAATTGGGAACATTTTTCAAAGTACAACACCATAAGTAAGATGTTATAATAAGCATGTATATCTTGCATTTAAGAGGCAAAATATACTGAATTTAAAGTAGTTCATGGTAATTGCAGAAATCATAAAATAATAGCATGACAAAAGGCTATATAGCAATATATTAGTGAAAATCTAACTCATAGATGCTTAGTAGTTACAGAAACGTTTACTTGATCTTACCCAAATGCAAATAGAGTCCTTGGATTATGCTTTTCTTTCCAACCACTTAAGCAAATTTAGTTGCAAGATATCCAATCGGCTATATGTGAAACAATATATATTGTACCTGTACATGGAACCCAAACTATTCCATAAGCATAAACTTGCAGGAAAAACATTAACTTCAGTAATAATAGACTATAAACATAAACTTAAGTAATAATAGACCATAAACATAAGTTGGATTTAAAAGCAATCATTTTCTCAAGCGACTATTGTAGCATCTTTTCCCTTTTCAACCTGTAACAGAAGAAACAGATATAAACAATATATCTACTCCCAACAAAGAAACATATATAAGTTAATTTGTAACTCAACCAAAAATATAGGTTCACTTGACTATAACCAATGTATGCTCTTTAAAATAAGTTACACAACAATTATTTAGCTCAACCCTAACACTTATCCTGTGTAAATCAATTAAATCATCTTCTAAGTTTGGGAAAGTTTGACAAAACTGAAATGGAAGGCTTACATTCATCAAAGAAAGCAGGAAAACCAGAATGGAGGGAGGCGACAATTGAAGCAGATATGGTGGAGAATGGCGATGGGAGCAGGGCGACGACCGTTAGTGGAAGATGTGAGGTGGGACGACTTGCAGGGAATTAAAATCTAGAAGAAATCGAACAAAGATTAAGCATCTACATTACATTCTTCAAATTAAAAAAAAATCTAGGTTTTACCTTTGTGCGAGAAGAAATCGAGCAGGGGTAATGACGGAGGAGCTATGCTGCCGATGGGCGGGAGAGGAAGACGCCCGCCGGAAAATGGGTGAATGCGCCGGAGAAGGGACGAGCAACGAGGGGGTTTTGGGTAGCGTTCACAGAAGACAAAATGTAGGAAGACAGAAGCGAGAAGGAGTCGATATAAAGGAAAGCGTAGGAGCCGATATGAAGGAAAGCGTAGGAGTCGACCGCAAAATGGAGGTGAAGGCGGACAATAAAAAATAAGAAACCCTAAACTGAAGAAGGCCAAAAAAAAATGAAAAAAAAGGGGGTATAGGGACTCGAACTCGAGTAAATTACGTACAAGACCATCGACTATACCACTTGGCTGGGAATGCCACATCCATACTCATCTTGACCGGTAAAACTTTTAACCACTTTCATTACCGTTATTATTATTATTATTATTATTATTATTATTATTATTCAAATTATTATTATTATTATTCAAATAATTATTATTATTATTATTATTGTTATTATTATTATTCTAATTGTTATTATTATTATTATTATTCAAATTATTATTATTATTATTATTATTATTATTATTATTCTAATTATTATTATTATTATTATTATTATTATTATTATTATTATTATTATTCGAGTCTTAACTTTTTTTTTTTTGGATAAATTTTCTTACATATTTAAAACACGAACATTTAACTTTCTAAAAAGGGTCAACTTTCTAAAATTGGATTTTTGATGCATTTTTTAATATAGCAACGCCAGGGGCGCTGCCCCCGGACCCCCGTTCGTTTAGGGGCTTCTCCCCTAAATAACAATGTACTTTCAATCTTGAAAAAGTTGAACAAGTGTGCACTCCTACACCAACCTAACTTGTTCAATATTCAACAAGAACAATTTTAATCATATTACACTTCAATAATATTGATGATATGAAATCACCAACAAACCTCCCCCATTTAAGTGTAAACCTGATTAAACTTAAAACAAAACATAAACAACAACAAACTGATGCATAAATGATGACGATGAGGATGATGATGATGATGATGATGACGATGACTATTGATAGTGTGATGGTGATGGTGATGGTGATGGTGGTGGTGGTGATGGTGATGGTGATGGTGGTGATGATGATGGTGATGGTGATGGTGATGGTGATGGTGATGGTGATGGTGGTGGTGGTGATGGTGATGGTGATGGTGATGGTGATGGTGATGGTGATGATGTGATGGTGAGGGTTGTGATGGTGATGGTGATAGTGATGGTGATGATGATGGTGATGGTGATGGTGATGATGATGATGATGGTGATGGTGATGGTGATGGTGCTGGCTGGTGATTGGTGGTGATGGTGATGATGATGATGGTGATGGTGGTGGTGGTGGTGGTGATGGTGAGGGTGGTGATGGTGACGGTGATGGTGGTGGTGGTGGTGGTGGTGATGGTGATGGTGACGGTGACGGTGATGATGATGGTGATGGTGGTGATGGTGACGGTGACGGTGACGGTGGTGGTGGTGTGAAAAAAACGAAGCGAAAAAAACTATGTTTGGTGCCCGAAAAATTGAAAATAAGAAAAATCCGTAGCTAATCCGTAGCTACTTAGCTACGGATTAGCTACGGAATTCTAACGGAAAGCTTACTCCGTAGCTAATCCGTAGGTAATTAGTATCCGTAGGTATTCCGTAGCCCTTTCGAACCTGGGAACCTCACTGAGGAAACTTTTATCCGATTGTTTTTCCACAGCGGCTTATGTTGTTAATCATGCTCCATCCTTATATTTATATAAAATTCCATAACTCAAATACAAAGGAAAATACAAACCTTTTTTCAACACAAAGGAAAATACAAACCTTTTTCATCAACCAACTAACGTTTCGTTTATTAAAGACCGATGTGACGTATATTAATTCAAAATTAGGCGAATAGCTACGCTTGGGAACGTAAAATTACATATTTAAAATTTTGACAAATTAATATATGTTAATGATATTTTGTATAATAACACCTTTTATATTTGACATTAACATTCCATGTTATTCAAAATACAAACATTTCCATTTTTAGAAATGTTGTAATGTTGTTTTCTGTATTTGATGAGTTATTTTGTATCAAAGCAAAGACATCCAACAAATACTATAAAACTTATGTTCGTTTATCACCATACATCTCCACTACTCTCCTTTAATCCAGATCGTCCCATTGGAAAATGCACAAAGTGACATTTATATTCATTTGTAGTCTACACTATCGACTAAGTAACTAATGTGATGCACTTATTACTTTTTAAATGCATATCTACGCATCATATTATTTTTTCATATTCCAGCATCGGCAAACTAAAACCACATAGGCATTTTTTGGATACCAACATCTAATTCTTATTAGAGACTAATACAAACACACCCTGCCATAAAAAAATGCTTGGTACAAGATTAAAATATGCATGACTTGTCTTTAGTTCACATGTGATATTTATATGATCAAAAAAGAAACCATGAGTTTAATGAAAATTAAGACCAATTAACATGTAAAACAATTTATATATAATTTATATGTAGCAATGCATTTGCTAATATGGCTTCAAATTTTCCAATACCTTCCGGGCTTCAATAAATCCACGTTGCGGTCCCAACGGTGAGTATTTCATTGTTTTCCATATATTTTAATATTCATAAATATTAAAATGGTTTTTACAAAAACTCTTAAGAAAAAAAATTACACTTATTGATACATATAGAAGTGTCAAATAGTAAATGTGGAGATAATTTCCTTTGTTGAGGGGAGGATGATGAAAACAAAATCTCTTCAAAGAATTTAAATAGAAGTGTCAAATAGTAAATGTGAAGATAATTTCCGTTGTTGTTTAATGGAGGATGGTGAAAACCAAATCTATTTAAAGAATTTACACTTGTCAACAAGATTTGTTTGTGTATCAATATGTGTGAAAGTGTCTGCCCCAAATATAAGATGCGACATATCGGAAGGAACTATATATTGAATAATTGGTAAAATTAAAAAAAAATCTTTAAATTTATATGAAAAACAATACCCACAAAAAAAGTCATTTTTCCTCCCTTAGAGGTCCTTAACCGTTGTAGAATATGACAAAAAATGTTCCTATTATTAACATTATTTATATTTGTTCGTGTTATGTTTGATGTTTTTCATGTTATCCGGTTAATAATAATTATTAAAAAGTCTTTTGAGTGATAATAATTAAATTAGGAGGTTTCAAATGCATAAAAATCAAGCAAAATGTTTGTTTTATAAGATAGTAGACGTAATCTCGCACGTTGCGCATGTTTAAAATAGTAATTGTGAAAATTTCAATTTTTTTTAGATATGTTCAAATTTACTTTTTTTAACCATATTTTTTGTTTATATTTATAATCATAATTTACGTAAGTATTTTTTGTATTATACATATTTAAACCTAATTTAGAAGACAATATAAAAAATTAATTTACTGGTTTTTTTTCTTAGTATTTAACATAATTCAAACTTAATTTAAACTTTGTTTGTTATAATAATTATTATATATTATCATTTTTTATAACATCTAATTTATTTTAAATATTTTAAAAACTTTGTTTTTATCAAACAAATTGCAAAAATTGTTTCGATGGTTTGCTAATTTTTTTTGTTTGCCGTGGAGTGGGTTTTAAAGTTGTCGGTTTTTATATTTTGGCCTATTTTGACATCTGTATTTTAGCTTCTAAAATTTTAATTTTATTTATTTTTTGTATTAATAGCGATTGTCATCGTAAAAAGAGAAATGAAGGATTTAATATTCAAAAGACTACAACCTAACTCTTTTCTTTTGCCTCTAAATATACAATCATATTAATATCTACTTATTTCACACATTATATAACAAACAATGTAAAGGATATTAGCAATTATTCATTGGTATTTGAATTTATTAGTTAACAATTACAATTCGTAATTAAAACGAACAATTTCTATTATGTATAATCAATAATAACTTATGCAAACTCATGAACAAATTATATCACATAATGGCTATAAATAAAAATATGGGACTACAAAATTTTTGGACCAACATATATTACATTCATTGAACTTACAATCTTATAATAGAAGACCATATGAAAATAAGAAAAATATCAATAAACGTGTTAGCTTCTACAAATTAACATCTTTGAAAATTATGATTACTTCTTTTTCGTTCTTTAAAAAACATGCATCCCAAAATGCATGTTTGTATTTACTTAGTCGTTTTTCTCTCCATATTATTCTACAAACTTTAGCAATATGATCTACATATGTGAGCTATGTATAATAAGTACAATTAAGTACCGTAAATGAGAAACTCTTGATTTGTAGTAACTAATTAGTTGAAAATCAATATGTAACGTCCCGATTTTCAAAACAAAATTTTCATTTTTATTTATTTAAAATATAAGTCTTACACATTATCCTATAAACCGATGTCAGATATTTAATTATAAAAGAGTGTTTTTGCGGAAGTTAATTAAAACATTATTGATCCCCTCGATGTAGATACAATCATTCGCGAGCCTTTCCCCGATCTGATAAACAACCTGAAAAGTAGTTATTCAACAACTGTAAGTCGAGGCTTAGTGAATTCCTTCAATATACCACATACCACAACATATGCACAATGCATACACATAATGGCCTTCAACTTATAGTTGGTCCGCACCTTGGCCTTTAGTATATATCTGGTCCACCTTATATAGTCTTCAGCACGTGGCTGGTCCGCTTTCCATGTTAGTCCACCTGACTTTTTTTCCCTTCAGCACAAGGCTGGTTTCCCCTTAACTCCATATAAACATATCAACATATAACAACAATCCACATAACAGGCAAGTAACTATCATAGTCTAATGGCCTAAGTGCATACTATATGGTAACTATATCCTAACATACAGAGGATACATACATATAGTGATGAGAATTCACCTTGACAGTTTCTCAGATGGTTAACATCTAACTAAGTGATCCAATTGGCGAGTACGCGCCTAACATGATGAGTACGCACCTAACAGGTATTAACCTACAATACTAGAGATTATTTATCTATAGGAAAATCTGGTAACGTAGTCTAGACCCATCCTTAATTCCCAATTATCGAGAGTTGTATCAAATAATGATCAGCCAGGGGGAACAGTTGGGAGGCAGGTTCATGTCAGCGTATAGCCATTCTGAAATCCAACAACCAAGCCGACCTTGTAAGGTCCCGAAAACCCGGAACCAAAATCTTTGTTTTAATATTAAATAAACATCAACCATACATGATAATCAACCCATAAGAAAGTCATAGTGTATCAATAATCATCCAAAATACATCAGAGTCAATAAAGCGGAAAAATCATGGTGTGTGTGTGTGATGCG